AAGTCAAATATATTTTAAGATAGAGGAGTACACACCTAACTAAATTTAATATAGATAAAGTGCGAGCAGCGCAGCTTGAGGTATACTGTGCATATATATTACTTCAACTGTCTGAAAACTGCTCAACAAATTGAAGAAAAATTTATACTGTAGCAAACTTTTAAGGCACGCTATTCACAAGCTGTATACTGTAGCAAGCGAAACTAGAAAGCTTCTAACTACTACCACAGTTGTAGTTCTTTCCTAATTTTCTACCGCCCCCAACCTGCTGGAGTTCCCTAAAATACCTTCTGCAGAATTACATGTCTAAAAATCTGACTTGTGACATTCCAGACTCAAATTTACTAGTTTGACAAGTTTTGTTTCCTCCAATGTTTGTAATACAATAATCATATGTTTTCTATGTCTATCTTCATGAGAGAAACAGACTAGTACACCATCGATATACAAAATGACAAATATGTTCAGATAAGGTTGAAAGTCTGTTCATTACGTCCATAATTTTTGCTGGGACTAAGTAAAACTTGTAACCAGGAATTCATACCGTACTTGATTCTAATTCTAAATGTTCTCATACCGTCCTGATTTGGTCTTTATGATGGTAACCAAACGGTAAACCAATCATTTTTCTTTTTCAGTTCAAGTAGTTTTTTTTTTGATAGATTTAGTTCAACTAGGTCCATTACTGCCATTCTCTTTAAGCTGCTAAATACTAAATCTATTATGAACTCGGTTCCTTGCTGGGTGACAAACCAAACAGTTGCTTAGGAAAACATCTGCAGTCTTCTTGACTACTGTGATTCTTTACATAGACAGGCTTATCTTTAGTCACAAACAGTGGCATAGATAGGAATATTTTTCATGGGGGCAAAACAAAAACTTGACTTAAAAATGGTCTGTCTAGGTGTAAATTAAAAAGTCCATAAAAGAAAAAAAAATTATTACAAACGAAATTTATCAGTCTTTAACCATAAATTAATAGTGATTGATGAAGTAATGTAAATGCCATCAATTAAAGGACAAAATGAACGTATATAGTGAGTGAAAGAACACTAATAAAAGAGAAGCAAAAAATTATTAGTGAACACATACATTTGTAAAAGGATGATGTTGAATCATTTTTCATTCAAGGAGATTGATACAAATACCTTTTAATTCAACACATTATACAACAAACTCATTAAGAAATTTTTTTTTTTTTTTGAATTTGAATTACAGATGAAAAAACTTAAAGTTACAGATTTTAATAACTAAATTAGTGGGTGTTAACGGGTATATTGAAACGAAGGATATATTAATTATTTTTCTTAAGTCAATTAATCCTTATTTTTGTTAGTGGCCAGAAAAAAAAATCTTTATTTTTATCATCTTTCTTATTATCTATATTTTCCACACATCTTTCTCATTATCATCACTTAAAAGTAATCTCCAATAATAAAAATAACTAAAATGATAATTACACTATTTAGGATAAAAATTAAAATTTAAGGGACAAACTACCCTCAGCCCCTCCTTAGCTCTGCCAATGTTCACATATAAATGTTCAAAATAATCATCATACTCCTAGTGCAATAGCGTAGAAGCTAGCAAACAAAAGATTGATCATAGTCTAGAATGCAAATCATCACCCTTAAACTTCATCGATAAACTGGTTAGCCATATGGAATACAACAATCTTCTTGTAGCAGACAATCACTGCAAAATGAGCTCAATGTAAGTTCTTCTATATTCAATAGAGCCAGATAGGCTAATAATTCTCTAACATCAATTCTGCCAAACATGCTATGTAAATAATATGAAGTTAAGAGTTTCTTTAGATGGTGTACTCACTACTAGCATAAATTAAAAAATTTCAACCTCGGCATACAAATAGGACGCTTATCTAAGTGATACAAACGATGCATAGTACCATTTTCAATCAAAGCATAAACATTTCCAAATGGAGTGGGTAACTTACCCCTTACTGTAGCTGAATTCCCTTGTGTGTTCTACTTGTGGTTGCAACATTTTGCCTTGCATTTTCTGGTTTCTTTTCATTTCAATTTCTGGTTTGAAGTTCTTTCTTTCCCATCCAACAGAAGCCTCACTCATCCTGAACATATGTTCTGGTTTCTTAATGATTTTTTGACTACTTGCAACTTTTCTCAATGGGTCGAGTTTAAGGGTCGGGTACAATTTTTGTCAAGTCTATGAGCCATCTAGTTTTGATAGATACAAGTTTGTCTTACCATATCAAAGCTCAAAGCTTCACTAGATCCATCTATAGCCTACTGTAAGGATAGGTCCGAAAGTCCTAAACCTCGGACGTACTGCTACAATTCCTCAATAGTCGAAGTGAAGTTAAATCCAGCACTTCTCAATCAAATGGCTGCATGATAAATACAGTGGACAAGCCTACACCTAATTTGTCACACACAATTTCTCGATCCCGAAATTATCGCCTGAAGGGACATGTCACACTCCAATTATCTTGTTAAGTAAGCCACATGGACATCTCACTAAGGCCTATAAATACCCCCCAGGGGCCACTTCAAAAAGGTAATTGAAACCAATCTAAAGCTCCTTTTTCCATTATTCTAAAAGTAGATCCGATTATTGCTAACTTAAGCATCGGAGTGTTTACCCCTAGGACCTACCTCGGGGCTTTGCAGGTTCATCCAAAGTGAAAAGGTGGACTGAAGAAGGACCTCTGGTTTGGTGCAATTACATTGGCACCGTCTGTGGTAAACCAAACTAAAAGCTCCTTTGTTGCTTTCTCATCATGGTCAACACTCGATCTGTCCGAGCTGGAAATCAGGCTCAACCTCTTAGACAAGGTCAAGGTCAATACCCCAACAACCTTCCACCTCACCTCCCACCTTAGATCCCAAATCTATTCCCTCATGTTGAACATGCAGAAGGGGGAGATGAAAATCGACCTCACAACTCAGCCCACAATTCAGCTTCCACTCATAATCAAGGAGATGTAGTCACAACTCAGCTTGCTGCTATGCAACAACAATTTGGTGTTTTCCAATTAGTTTTGGCTCAACTTTTAGCTCGAAATAATCCTGGTGATCCCCTTATCAATTTACTCAACCCTACTTAACAACCCCCTGTTCAATACCAAAACCCTCAACCAGTTCAACATGCTCCTGCTCTTAGTGAGTCTCAGGGTCAGTCTCATGTAGCCCCAGTTCAACAACCTTTACCTGATGATGTCACACGACGTTTGGACAGCTTAGAAAAACTGGTAGTCGAGCAGCAAGGTGCCTCACCTCCACACCATAACACTGATTCCATACCTCATCCTCTAAACACTAATATTACATTGGAACCTTATCCCGCTGGTTTCAAAATACCTCAGCTTGAGACATATGATGGGATGAAAGATCCAGATGATCACCTCCATGCCTTCTACTCCTGTATGCAGGCTCAGAATGCTTCTGATGCGTTGATGTGCAAAATTTTTCTCTCCACTCTCCGTGGTAATGCTCGAACCTAATACTATAGTTTGCCTCCGAGATCTATCAGCTCTTATATAGAAATGGCATCTGCTTTTGCTACAAAGTTTTTCAGTAGAAGGTTGATTAGGAAAACCACTTCTGAACTGATGCGAGTTAAACAGAGGGAAGGAGAGTCTCTGAAAAATTACATGAGCTGGTTCAATGATGCAGTCCTTGAAGTTAGCTCATTCAACCAAGCTGTGGGAATTGCAGCTATAATTCAAAGTCTCCAGCACGAAAGATTCAGAGATAGCTTAATTAAGCATCATGTTGCCACTTTTAATGAGGTTAATGACAAATCTTTGAAATTCATAACTGCTGAGAAATGTGCCCTGTCACAAAAGCAAATTCTCTCTAAAAATGAAAACCCAGATTGGAGAGATGAGGGTTAAAGCAGAAAGCGAATGAAGACAGTCCAGAATCGAGATCCGATGTCGACCTCCACATCGAGATTCAAAAAGCCAAACTCAGTACCCCTCAGCAAATTACCAATAAAGCACCAGTTACATGGACTCCTTTCAATCTGTCAAGGTTGCAGATATTCATGTGGATCAAGAATAAGATGGATTTAAGGCGACCAGGGTCGATGAGAAGTTTTGCTGCTACACGTGATCATACTAGATATTGTGCTTTCATCAAGATCACGGTTAGACAACAAAAGAGTGTAATAGTTTGAGGTTCGAATTGGAAAGTCTAGCTCAAAAAGGAATGCTCAATGAATACATCCAGAGAACAGAGCAACCGAAGTTTGTCAGAGAGTAGAGGCCACAGCTACAAGGATCTCGTAATGTAGGAAATAGGCAAGGAGTGGGATATCAACAAGCCCCAACACTGCTTCCATCACTGACCAAAATTATACACATGATCACCGGAGGATTGGAAGTAGGGGTTTTGAGCTCCAAGTAGAGAAAATTGTATGTCAAGGAGGTGAAGCATCAAAACCGAGCCCAGAAACGAAAGTTTGACGATGCTGACTAGAAGAATCAACCTATCACTTTCACACCTGCTGACTTTGACATAGTTGTAACGCCCCATAATGATCCTTTGGTAACTTCTGTTATAATTAACAATTGTGAGGTACAACATGTCCTTGTTGACACAGGGAGTGCACCAGACATTATGTATTTTCACTGTTTTGAGAGTCTCGGACTGGATCCAGCTTTGTTGCAGAGGTACGATGGTCCAATATATGGATTTAATAACCAATTTGTTAAGGTAGAATGACTCCTTACTCTCAACGTTGCTTTTGGGAGCAACCGAACTTATGTTACCCCTTCAGTTTGGTTTCTAGTTGTCAAAATGGCATCCTTTTTCAATGCTGTTATCGGACGACCCACATTAACCGAGATCCGAGCTGTAGTCTCTCAATCTCGTCTTTGCATGAAGTTCCCAACCTCTATAGGGATAGCAACACTACGAGGTAACTAGGAGGTGGCTAGACATTGCTATATTACCTCAGTTACAAGGCCTCAAAAAGGCAAAGATCAGACACTAGAAACCATTCCCCAACAAGTTCATGATAATTAGCAGGTAATGGGAGTTGAGATAGTAGACAACCAGCCAAAGGAAAAAACTAGAGCTACCCCAGTTGAGGATGTAGAGGAAGTGCAAATTGATGACAAAGATCAAAACAGGAAGACACAAATTGGAACTCAGTTAAACCCAAAAGAAAGAGTAGAGCTAATAGCTTTCCTCCGAGCTAACAAAGATGTCTTCGCTTAGACCTTAGCAGACATGCCACGAATTTCAATCTCGGTATCTCAGCACAAGCTCAGCACCAATCCATTAAAGAAACCAATAGCCTAGAAGCGACGTCTCTTTGGGGGGGAGAGAGGCTTTAGGTTAGAAAAGAAGTAGAAAAACTCCTGCAAGCTGGTTTCGTCAAAAGAGTTGATTATTGTGAATGGGTGGCTAACCTGGTGTTGGTTAAGAAGGCAAATGATAAATGACGAATGTGCATCGATTACACAAATCTCAACCAAGCTTGTCCCAAAGACTGTTATCCGATGCCAAGCATTGACAAACTGGTTGAAGCAGCTTCTAGAAATGAGAGATTAAGCCTCTTGGATGCATATTCTGGTTACCACCAAGTGCCGATGGCTCCGAAGGATGAAGAGAAAATACAGAGATTAACTGGGAGGGTGGTAGCTCTTCATCGGTTCATATTGAAGTTAGCAGATAAGTGCTTACAATTCTTCAAGATCATGAGATCAACAGCGCAAAAGGATGAATCTAGCAAACAGAAGATGTTTGAATGGAACCCAAAATGCCAAGCTGCATTCGATGAGCTGAAATCTTATCTTAGCTCACCCTTTTTGCTAATAAAGGCTATTGATGGAGAAATCCTCTATCTGTACCTCGGTATTTCAGATGAAGCAATTAGTTCTATCCTAATGAAAGAAGAAGGCAAACAGCAGAAACCGATTTATTATACCAGCAGTGTACTACACAAAGCATAACTGAGATACCCTATTGTTGAGAAAGCAATGTTAGCAGTTGTCACTTTAGTCAGAAATATGAGGCTATATTTCTAATCACACCCAATCATCATCCTCATAGACCAACTTCTTCGACAGATCCTTCAGAAGCCAGAGTACTCAAGAAGGTTAATTAAATGGACAGTAGAACTGGGGGAATTTGAGATAACATTTCAACAAAGGTCTGCAATTGGAGCTCAAGCACTAACAGATTTTATCGTAGAATGCACCCCATGTAACCCAAGCTCTAATCTCGAGCCGAGCAACTAGACCTTATATGTTGATGGAGCATCTAATAGCAAGGGCTCAAGAGTTGGTGCTCTCGTAGTTGGTCTAGATGGATATCGAAGTGAGCATGCTTTGAAATTTAACTTCGATGTAACAAACAACATGGCTGAGTATGAAGCTTTGCTACTTTGCTTGCAACTAGCATTGAAGCTGAAAGTAATGGCAATACAAGTATACAGTGACTCGTAGCTTGTGGTTAATCAAGTCAACTCAGTCTACAAGGTTGTTGATTCTGTTATGATGAAATATGTAGCCTTGGTGGCCAAACTGAAGTGCAAATTTCAAAAATTTTGTTTGCGCAAAATTCCCCGAACTGAGAATGAACAAGTAGATTCACTTACTAAGTTCGCCTCTGATAGTTCCTTAAGCCCTAGATCAGTTTTCCTTGAAGTTTTAGATGAACGGAGCTTCATGAAGCCAAGAATGATGAAGATCAACACAGACCCGAATACACCGAGTTAGACAGATCCAATTGTCTCTTTTCTACAAGATGGGTTAGTTCCTGAAGATAAGCAAGTAGAGATGAAGTTGAGGAAGAAAGCATCTCGATATACACTTGTTGATGGGGTCCTCTATAAGAGATCTTTCGCACTCATTCTCCTACGATGCTTGAATCCTTATGAAGCTGAGTACACACTTCGGGAGGTATGTGAAGGTGTATGTGGAAGCCACATTGGTGCTAGAACCCTAGCTCATAAAGTCCTCAGATAAGGATATTACTGGTCAACTATGTATAAAGATGCTACTCACTTTGTATAGAGATGCCCGAAGTGCCAATTCTTCGCACATTTGACTCACCAATCGGTAAAAGAGCTCACCAACTTGGTAGCACTATGGCCATTTGCTTAGTGGAGACTTGATCTTTTGGGTCCATTCATAAAAGGGGTTGGAGGTGTAACCCATATGATCGTTGGTGTTGATTATTTTACGAAATAGGTTGAAGCTCAACCACTATCTAGTCTTACTTCTAAAAAGGTCGAAGACTTTGTTTTTGGCTCAATTATCTGCAGATATGGAATCCCAAACCAGACTGTGGCTGACAATGGTACTCAGTTTAACTGCTCCTTCTTCCGAGATTTCTGCTCCAGTTACGAGATCAAACTACAGTTTATCTCGGTTTATCATCCGGAGTCTAATGGAATGGTAGAATCTGTTTAATAAAGCTATCCTAGAATGAATAAAGCCGAGGTTGGAGCAGCACAAAGCTAGGTGGGCAGACGAGCTCAACAACATCCTCTGGGCATATAGAACTACGAGCCAAACTGCCATAGGTACTATTTCCAAGTCAAGTTACTTTCATTCTATTTTATTCTCTCATCTATGGCTTTACCCTAGATCAAATATGCACAATGTACAAAGCATACTCTAAAAACTATAACTTAATGAAATAAATGAAACACCATACCACCTGGCCTTTGGTACTGAAGTAGTCATTCCAATTGAAATAGGAGTCCAAAGCTTCAGGGTAACCCATTTCGATGAAGGACGAAATGGACAATTGCTTCGAGAAAACCTTGATTTGCTTGTCGAAGTCAAAGAAGAAGCACGGATTCAAACTTTAGTATAGAAGCAAAAATTAGCCAACTTTTACAACAAACAAGTCCGCCCTCAAATATTCAAAGTAGAAGACCTTGTTCTCAAAAAAGCTGGCCTAACGGGGTTTGAAACTTGTTTTGATAAATTAGCTCCAAATTGGGAAGGCCCTTACACAGTGGCCGAAGTGCCACATCCTGGCGCCTATATCCTCTATGTTGAAGCAAAAAGAATTCCTAGAGTCTGAAATATCAATAACTTGAAGAAATTTTACCCATAATACACTTCTTGCAAGTGATCCTTGTCTTATTCTTCTTTATAATTATTACTTCTTCATTTCTGAGATTCATGTCATCTCTTAGTCTGTATCTCCGAGGTCAATCTGTTTGGAATTTATTCTTTCGAATTCACTTTTATTAATGAATTTCACTTCACATTCGAAGTGATTTACTTCATCTTAGTTCACATCCGAAGTGATTTATTTTATTTTAGTTCTTATGTTAATATAAAACAATTAAAGCACAAAATAAGTATTAAAACCAATTAAAAAAAATTTCTTTAGATTAATCAACAAATGTACAAAAACGTTTAAATTAATCATTGTTCACATTTAAACTACATAAATTAAAAAACAAAAACTCCTAATTATTCTGCTGGGGGAGGTGGCTGAGGTGGCTACTCTTCGTCAGAAGGAACTGAATGGACCTCCACTGGAAGAGGTGGCTGGTTTTCCTCAACTCCAGCACCTTCTACCTCTTCTTGCTCTTTCTCCACTACTACGAAATCAAAGTCAAAGTTCAGAAGAAAAACGATACGTCCTTTTTCATCATGATCCCACTTCAGTTTAATCTATGGTCGGAAGTCTGTTGACATACTCTCACTGTTCTCCTTAACCCCTTCCTCTTTTTTGCCAAAGGTGATCTTTGTTATATCCACTTTGGGATACTCAACTTTCACCTTCCTCCTACAATTAGTGAAGGCAAGGATCGCAATTGGCAGCCAGTAGAGATTGACAATATTGTGAAACGAGCTGGAGTTGACGAAGTTGCTGATATGCTTCTCCATCCCATGTGTACCAACAGCTGAACATTCTTCTTCAGCTCAACCACAGCTTCTTTCATCATTTTTATCTCTTTCTCCTGAGCCTCGCGCTCGCTTTCAGAGATCTTTCTCTTTCTCTCTTCAAACACGAGCTTAGTACTCAGAGAATCCTTCTCCTGCTCAAGCTGCTTCACTGTTGGTACCACCTCATCTAGCGCCTCCTGCATGTTCTTATTCTTCTTCTCCAACTCGTTCTTCTCTTTCTACAGTTGCTCACACTGCCTTCGCAAGAGAGTACGCTCTTTCACACTTTCCACAAACTCCTGGGCTAGAGCATTCACCCAGCTTGCACTCTGTAATTCCAACAGAAGTCAAAAAAAAAAAAAAACAACAACAACAATAATTACACATAAACCAACTTAACATACCTCCAAAGCGTGCCTCATCACAGTTGCCCCAACATACCTCAGCACCTCTTCCTTATCTTGACACTTGTCCACTTTGGGGAAGGTTGCATTAATAAACCTTCTTGCCCCTATTGCGTTCTTCGCATCAAAGAGGTTGCTTTGAAAGGACAAAGGGGGAACAAGGACTTTCCCTTTACCAGGGGCCCTTACCTCAGCCCCCTCAACCTCAGACTCCCTGAGCTCAAGATTGAGCTCAACAGGAGGAGGTCGAGGTACGAACTCCAGTACCTCGTTCCCCCCAACCTCCTGCTCCATCACTTTCTTCTTTTTCTGGAGAGCTTCTAACGCCTCACTGCCTTTCCTCTTCAACTCTAACCTAGGCCCCACCTCCTGAACTCCAGTTGTGGTGCTAGGCACTAACTCCTTCCCAGCTCCCACCTTACTCGCCTCTTTAGTTGAAGTCTTTGACTTCTTCCTCAGCTTCTTTGGAATGGCCACCCCTCTAGCAACATTCAAAAATTTATCCATCTCAGTTGCAAAACAACAAAAACAAAGAGTGTCAACAACATAACTCTACGTTTAACATCAAGCACTACAATACAAAATATAAACACACCTTCATTCAAAGCGCTTGGCCCATAAAGCTCAGCAGCCTCTATACAATTCGCACTGGTGAGGTACATTATATTTACTAAATTACCCCCCTCCCTCACCAACTTCCCCACCTCTTCCTCCTCATCCTCATTTAAACTATATTTATTTTGGTTGGCTTTCTTAGCCTTCCAAGAGGACAACAGCTCTACCTCGGCATCCTCTCTCTCCCACTCAATGTCATCCACAAAGAAAAATTTCTCCTTTCATCCTTTAATGGATGAAGGACCCAATGTAAATAAACTCCTACTCTCTTTATTCGACACTCTAACGGTGAAATAATACCACCCATTGTCCTTTCTACTACCCCCTTTAGAACAAAAAAATATTTAAAGATATTTACAGTCGGCACATTAACCCCCTGAGCTGGTAATAAACTAAAAACCCTATTATTACCCTCATAGCATTGGGGGCTAATTGTGCCAACCCTATGCTATAATCTAATAATAACCCCACTAGCAACTCAGGAATTGGAAACCTAAGCCCAGCTGCCAAATAATGCGCATACATGGGCATCCAATGATCCCGAGGGGCAGAACATGCCCTCTCCTCTACCCCAGCAGGCCTAATCAGAACTCGGGAAGAAATTTCATAACTTTCAACTAAATAACCCAGGCTATCCCTGGTCTCGAATTCAGACTCATACTGCCTCACCTCAGACACAATATCTGCATCAACATCATAACACCTTTCACTCCCACCCTCCACTTTTACTACGGTTATGGGAACGCTATCTCCCTCAACCCCAGTCATCTCATTTCTTCCTACCCCCTCCTCCATCCTCTCTGAGTTAAATGACTCACTGGTCCTACCCACGTCACCATACTCCAACGCCCTCACTTCCCCCAACGCTCACCGTTTCTTCAAAAGACATCTCTTCAAAGTTCGTAACTTTCACTGCATGGAGTAGAAAGGGGGGGAAATGAAGTTAGGATCTTCAAAAACTCTAACTCACGCTCATCGTCACTTTCACTCCTACACCTAACTTCCTTCAAAGGACTTAGATCTAAATAAAAAAGGATAAGAGTAGAAGAAAACACGTTCTAAAATCTAAATCACCAAAACTCATACGTTACCTGATCTCGGTCTTGAAAGATTGATGTAGAAGTCGACAAAGGATGCAACAGTCCAGATGTAAGAAGAACACAATAGAATTTTGGCAGTAATTTGGTAGAAAATACAACAAAAGTAAAACTCTTTTTACAGAAATGTGGCTATATATACCACAAAGCAAATATATATCTCAACGGTTGTGATTAATTTAATCTGACGGTCACGTTCACATCGTTTCAAATTCAATGGTTAAACCCTAATGGGAACCTCTCGAATTCGACAGTTCGTTTTCCATTTTGTCTGTTTAACTGTAGCAATTACTTTTCTCAGCCCGTATTTATTGTACACGTCTTTCAACAGACAGCTGTCACGTCACGTACTAACTATATGTCAGACTTTTTAAACGGGCCCAATTAAGCCCAACTCAACAATTCTGTTCACTTTCACAATAATATTTTCAATTTTACAAGTGTTTCACCTCGACTTCGGCCATAGTGACCTCGTGTTACATATTTTACTATGGCTCCGGCTACAATGACTCCGGTCATTACTTTTTACTATGGCTCCAACCACAATGACTTCGGTCATTACTTTTTACTATGACTCCGGCCACAATGACTCCAGTCATTACTTTTCACTACGACTCCGGCCACAATGACTCCGGTCATTACTTTTTACTATGGCTCCAGCCATAATGACTCCGGTCATTACTTTTCACTATGGCTTCGGCCACAATGACTCTGGTCACAATGACTCTGGTCATTACTTTTCACAATGACTCTGGTCATTACTTTTCACAATGACTCTGGTCATTACTTTTCACAATGACTCTGGTCATTACTTTTCACTACGGCTCCAGCCACAATGACTCCGGCCATTACTTTTTACTATGACCCCGATCACAATGACTTCAGTCATTACTCTAACCATTGTGATCCTGTGTCACATTTCATTTCAAATATGGCCACAATGACCCCATGTCACATATTCTACTTTAGTTACGAACATACATGAATTTGAGTTACCAATTTTTTCATCTCTAATATTCTTTCATTCCTCTTTTCACCTAATTATACACCACTCCCATCACCTCTAACAACATCATTCACAAGTGAATGACTTCGAGGGGGAAATAGTGTAAGGATAGGTTCGAAAGTCTTGAACCTCGGACGTGTTGTACCTATGATTTTGATGATTACAAAACACATTTGAGTGACTAATTGATTTATTTAAGTGTGTAGTTAAATTGCCAATATACTGCAAAGTAAACAAAATGAGATTGCATTAAAAAGGGCTCAAAGGGTAAAAATATGCAGAGAGCCGACTTAAGAAAATTGCAGCCGGCTCTGGGAAGCAAATATGCAGAGAGCCGGCTGTAGATTTTGTTGAACCAACTCTATAGGCCAGAAATTCAACTGCTATTTTGGTGCGCGCGAAAAATGGAAGTAGGGTCGGCTCCAACTTTGTAGCCGGCTGTGAGGGTGCATTTAATGCACAACAGTCGAGTTATTTGAAGATTATTTAATATGTTTAAAGTTGGAATCCCTAAAGCCGGCTTTAGGCTTTGTAGCCAACTGTGAAAGAAAACAGAATGTGCAGGAATCCCGCAAAGTCGGCTGCAGAAATGGTGAGTTGGTTGTATAGAGCCAGCTCTATGAAGCTAAGTCGGCTCTCCTAACAATCCTGCAACTCGAGCTTTGCGTCCTGCAAAGCATTTAATGACCCCCAACGGCTAGAAACGACTATTTTCGAGCAAGGGGCTATAAATATGGTTGGTAACAGATCTGAAGAAGTTTAGAGAGCATTATGTTGAATATCTTTACCTACCAACTCATGCTTTAACTAGAGATTTTGATCTTTGAGAGATCTTTGCTTGTAATCCTCTTCTTGTGCTATTAGTGAGTGATCTTAGGGGTGTGTTGATTCTTTCAAAAGTGATATGTAGAAAGGATCTTTAGGGTTTAAGTGTAAAGGGTGAGATTTGAGAGAAACACCCTTCTTCTTGTAAAGGATTGAGTGGCTCCTTTAAGCCACCATTGTTTTTGTTAGTGGAGAGTGTGGAGGAAATCCTTGGTGAGTGAAGCCAAGGTAGAGGATTAGGCTCCAAGTGGTTGGACTGAACCTCTATAAAATCATTGTGTAAGCTCTTCTTCTTCACTCTCTCTTTAATTTTTGTTTGGTGGTTGCAAAGAGGTGAAAATTCTCCAACTCCAATTCACCCTCCTCTTGGAGTGTATTGAGTCAACAATTAGTATCAGAGCAAGGCCTCCAATTTGAAGGTTTAACCACCTAGGAGTTGATCGAGGATGGCTCAATTTCAATCTTCTCAACCACTTGAAGGTTTTTCTACCACTAAGCCTTCTTTCTGTGATGGTACTAATTATAATTATTGGAAGAATAGGATGAAGGTCTTCATGCTTGCAAATGTGCCCAAGGCATGGATTGTGACTATGAAAGGTCCATATGTGCCTATGAAAGTAGTTGGGGAAAGTGAGGTGCCAAAGGAAGAAGTTGAATGGA